ACCAATATTCATTGTGCAGGATTTACAAGCTGGCTTTTCAATTCTGCTTTATTGTTTAGGAGAAGGGGAAGCAAAGTGAAAGTTATGGAACCAGTTTATTCCCCAATTCATTCCCATTCAGACTGAATACCTGGTAAAGATAGGGAGTAGCCAATACTTCTTTTCATCTCCGAAAACCTCCCTCAGATTTTTGCTGCATCCAAGAGAAAAGCCATTTTTATCAGGGCCATTTCGAAATGTGGGTGCACGGAATGTTTCTGTAAAAGAAAAACATACAATCTCTCTACAGCATTAAGGAGTCAGAGAAGACGAATAAACACTCAAACTTCTCTATTGTGAAAACAGTGTTGGGCAAGCCAAGACAATCTTGATGTGTATTATGGAAAAACAAAAAGTCATCTCAAGCAATCAGAGAGCATAAAAAAAACCCACAGACTTAATGACAAAAATAGAAATGAAAAGTAAGAAAGACACATAAGCAGAACAGTCACCTTTCTCTACATTTAACATAAGGTCTGAGACAGAGCTAAGTACCATCAGCATGCCAAAGATACCACATCCCTTATTCATTGATGGCTAGCTCTCTCTTTGGCCTGTGAAGCCTTCTTTGAGCAGAAGACTTCCTCTTCTAGAAGCAATTTACCATAAGCACTATTGGACCTAAACCCATATAGGGCAGTTTTTTTGCCACTTCTGCCAAGGTCTGAAGTTGAATTAAGAGCACCCCGTGGTATCAGAGGAAGATGAGATCTATTACATTAGAAACATAGACACACTGTGAAGTGTAGCAAACCACCACCATTTTTCTAGTCAGTCCAGGTAACACCCTTGGCCAAGAACCAAGAGGACTCATTGCTCTCTCCATACAAACAGCCTGTCTTCTTACGATCATGATCCAGAAAGTAAGTAAAGTACTGACTGTGTTGCCAATTATGACCACTGACTTTTGGGCAAGGAACATGCTAAAATTTTCTTCAAAGCTAAAAAAAGAGACCGTGAACATTCCTTAGCTGTAGACAGATCAAAAGAAAAAGGACTCAAACAATGAAAAAATTCCTTTTCCTCCATTAAAAAAATCCTAGCAAGCTGAAATTATTTCACTTTTAACCAACCCACTTACTTTTGAGAACAGAAATTTAACTTCCATTGAAACGTGTAAGATTTTGACTTATTCAGTTATAGAAACACCCACCAGTCCCCTCCCACCCCAGCCTGCAACAAGCACTTTCAAAAAATGCTTTAGGAAGAACTTCAGATATTTTAACTAATGCACGTAACTTGCTTATTCTGATCAATGTAATTTAAAACATTTAGGCACAGAAATTATGGGAAACTCTTTTATTATTTAGGAAACGTGCATCAGTGTTTCCATTTTTATCGCACTGCTTTTACAAGCCACTTCCTAATAGTGAGGGCCACTTTATTTCACAGGATTTAAGAATACTCTTTTGGATCTAGTTCAAAATGTAGGATGTTCATATAGAATAGAGCCTTCACTTTGGTTGGGGCCAGCTAGCTACTCAAAGTATTAGAACAACAGGGTAACTGGCAAGTAGCAATTGTGTTACATACTTAACACTATAGAAAAACACAAGACAGATGCGCAATGCTTCAGAGATCTCAAAAACACAAATAAAAGAAAGGAATCCAAATGCTTGGCTCCAGCAAAGGACCCCTACACATGCTTCATTTTCCCATATGTTTCACCTTTAATAACTTTCACCAAATATGCTTCTTATTGCACAATATTTAAAAACTCCGTTTATATGGGATGGCATATCCTGCAGGCCTCACGTTCTCATAGATTTGTTGGTTTTCTGGACAAGGAACAGTTCTATATTCCAATTAACTGACCTATGGTTGATCGGTTTTTGCCAACTAGCCAGCAGTGGTAGCTGAAGAGTGACAGTACGCTGATGAAGAACATGGCTGCCACAAAGAAAAGGAATAGTACGTGGAATTTTGCATGGGTATCTGGCAATTCATTCTGGGGAGAAAGAGAAAGAGAAAGAGATTAATACATTAACACTTTTTAGCAGCCAATGCAGTATTGTCACTAAACATCTTCTGCCACACCCATTCTGCTATATGTCTTTCACCTCACTTTTCACAAAGAAAAAAAAAAAAGCACAAGCCCAGCTTTCTTTTCATGTCATGTTAAACTGATATACAACAGCATTGAAAGCTAATGGGTACCCCTTCCACCTGAGTTTAGTAGCATGAGTGCATATGTTCCTCTGTTAGTTTCTAAATGAACAGTAGGGGGTAAGGAAAAAAATTTCCTATACTAAAAATGTTAACTGTGCAGCCACAGTCAAAGAGACACAGGAAAAACACGCCCAAAATCACTTTCATTGAAGGGAAGAAAATATAATAAAAATGTCCAACCCCTTTCCTGGCAAGGTAATAATACTGAACCTACTTCTGAACTGGTGTAAGGAATGTTAAAGGGAAATGGCTGTCATACTGTGTTTCTAAGACTGAAGAACTCCTAGACAAGACCTGGGACAGATCTTAAATTTTTGATGATCTGTAAGGTTTAGGCAACCACCAGCATGTACCTAGCAAAACAAATTTGCCATGTCTGACCAGGCAGAAGTGATTCACCAGAAGATCTATGTGAAAAACAACAATTTCAGTACAACCACATATAAAAAAAAAAACCACCTCCCACCTGTATCGCATAATCGATTGCACCCTCAACCCCAACTATTTTTAGGCTTGCACTTTCAAGAGGCCAATGGGATTTGTAACAATACTACTCCAGTTCTATATCCTCAAAATCACGATACTTTTAAGTAGCTGACCTTTAAAAGCACTACGAAAGCAGAGACGCTATTTTTATTCAGCTGTTCAGTTAGCATTATCACCGCTACTTTTTCCATTCGCTCATTCAGTATACTCACTTATCTAAGGTTGATTATTTTTTTTTAGACTAAAACACTTTTCAATTAAGATCAAGTGCACATAGGTATATCTATATCCCTATACACTGCCTATATTCATAGGCAACAGATTACAAGTCTCCGTCCTTCTGTGATGGTGTAAATAGCTACCATAAATGATTGGATTAAAAAAGTTATAGTAGGAACAGTATTTAAATAATTACAGCAATATTGAATTTTACCTTTGGACAATTCTCTGCAGCTTTCCTGTGGCAAAGCTTTGCGCAAACAAAGACAATTTATTAAACACTAGTAGTATGTTAGGACGAAGTGTTTGAATACAGCACAGGCTTTGTTAAGAACAAAACGGTTGGTGTGTACACGTGCTCTCGGACGTGCCGAGTTCCAACGCCCACCAGCAGCCTTAGCCCCCGTCCTCCAAGAGAATGGAGGAGAGAGTACCTAAGAGCACATTACTGACTTCCAAGCCATGAAATTTTCTACTGAAGCACAGAAGTATTGCTATTCAGATTGTGGCTGGATCACTTTCAAGTGGCTCCTCAGCTTTAACAGCATGACTACACCAGGTGCATTCTTTGCTAGTTGTTTCCATCACAAGTAAGGTTTATGTGAATATTCTGTATGATGAAACCATTCATAAAGGTCTGAAAAGCTCAGAATACTCCAGAGGTATAAAGCAATCGTTTATAAAAGAAAAAAATCTGATTTCAGAACATATCTATTACCACTAGATGTGGTTTCAGTTAAAACCATAAAAAAATAAATTGCCATTCTTTGCACAATTTTCTTTGTTTAAAAAAAGAACCCATAACACATCAGTACAGTTTTTCTTCTTCGCAATATCCTTCAAAACTGAGATGTTTGTAGATGTATCTTTAGTGTAATATCTGAAATTGAACCAGTACTTAAGAAAATAAAGCAAGAAATAGGAAAGCTTAGTTTAAACTAGCTTTCAAATTCCAAACTTTATACCTAAAGAGTGGTATTAGCCATCTTAGCTAAGATGCTGGCACTTAACAAATCTGTTGTAGGCAAGATGTATGATTTTTAAGTTACATTAATCTGTACAGAAAGCCTAGGGACAGTCCAAGCATTTACCTTGGAGTCAGGCAGTTATACACAGAATTTTCAAAAATGCTGGCTACCATCAGATCATGCTACAGTAAGCAAATGATGGCAGAGTCCAGCTCTCTGAACTGCCATCTAAGTTCAGTTTCCTTATTTACTGCCTTTTTTTTAATGCAGTTTTGCTTAGGCAATTTCTGCAATAGTCCCTCTTTCCCCTGCTTGTAGGGATATGTTGTGTTTTGTGATCCCTTGAAATCAAGGCTAGCAAAATACATACTCCAATTGCTGCGTATTCCTAAGCTTCACGTTAAAGCTATGATGACTTTTCCTACCTCAGAGCACACTGCAGTGTTCCCCAGTTTCTTAATTTTTGTAACTTCTATTTCTATGACTCTTTTGGAATTGTGTATTTAAACAATATAGCTCTCTATAAAGAATTCTCAGGCCAGTTGATTTTGAAGCTCAAAGAGCAATAGCAGCTTAGTCTTTGTGGGCCAGAAAATGTAAGTTTATTTCCAGTTTTATCTTCCCCAAAACAGTAGCTCTGTAACCCAGAGAAGGATTTGACTTATGCATGATTAATCTGCTTGATCCCCTGGCAGCGTTGACCTCTTCTGACTACTCAATTTCAGCCACTGGTTGTAAGTTCTTGAATGACAGTTGCAAAACTGAAGCATCTTTCAAAAAAGACCAATTCCTTCCCAGAAAGAAGCATGCAGGCTTTGAGTGTGTACAACAGGCTTATTCACAGTTATGTTCTAGCAGCAGTCCACATGCCACAGCATGCGAAAAGAGAGTGAAACTTCAGACATTAGTTATTTAAAATCATTCTGCCCAGCAGCAGCACACAAGCAGAGATTTGCAGGTGAGAGCTGCAGAGCTTACAAAAGGAAGCAATTTGCACAATAAAATGTGGGCTACTTAGCACACATACCAGACTGAAGCCAGTCTCTACTCTCAAGAGTCCTCTACAAACTCCTTCACAAGCAGAGAGCCATTTGAGCATATTTCAGGTCATAAAAAACCCCAAACAAAACCCACAACAAAAAAAGAGCTGTCAGAGCTTGACTTGTTACTCATCTTTTAGTAGCTAGGTCTAGCTTAAATCTAGAAAAAAAAAAATCAGATTTGCTATATGCCCTTATGTGTATATGCAAGAGGAATGAGTTCTAACTAAGGATCTAGAATAATTCTCTTTTTTGTTGCTGTTTTTGTTTGTTTGTTTGTTAATACAACCAAAGTTTTGCAGAAGCACGTGCTATCTACTCACAGCACATATCACATCCTTGAATTAACTATACTCAGGATTGCCAAAATAATTTGAGGGCCAATGAAAGACACTGGAAACAGATGGAAAATATACAGGTTTCAAGGGGGAAGGAGTGCAGTAAGAATGAGAGTAGATACAGACACTGGGAAGTACCGCCAGGCACTATGTAAACAAGGCATCAAGGACTGGGAGTTCAGCCAGCGCTGGTGTTTGTGTCAAATACATTTGGTTAAACTGAGGTTTTATCTGCTTATCTTTAAGAACTTCCTAGGTAGAAATAAAAATTTCATGAGTATAGGAAAAGTAGTTTCCTATATAAGTATATAGGTATAAAAGTATATAAGTATATATATACTATATAAGTATAAAAGACGGAGTCATTCATGTTCCCTTGGTCTACAAACCAGACTTTAACAGCTGCATTAGTGTGTAAGCCTGTGGTAAATATTTGCAGCCAGTGCGGTTGTTCCACCACTGTATGAACCGTATCAACATCTTTCTTCAGCACCTCTGCATAGAGCATGAAAGATGCTATGTAGAAGTCCTGCATGTGCAAGTGGGAAACACAAAGACTTTTTTCAACAGAAGAGTTAGGGAGATGTGCATGTCTCACAGCGTTTGCAAGTATCTGTGTATGTGTGTCATGTCTCCATGCAAGTATTATCAAGAGTGCAAAAGAATGGATTACTAAAACTTGTGTAGTTAGCACATACACCTTCACAACCTCACTACTACAAGTTCTGAAGTGACTCTCCAGGAAGCAGTTCATCTTCCATCCCAACACTGAATATACACAGCAGTTTGTTGCATACCTTCTCTGAAAAATATCTATGCGGAAGCAAAAAAGAAGCACTGCCTTCTGTAGATATACTATAACATTTCTGATAGTCAAGCTTTGGGGACAAAAAAAAACATCTAGAGACCCTCAACAGAAAATGTCAAAACAGTAATCTGTCTGATGCTGTGGCAGACAAAGCTGAGCGTTACCAATATACTGAAGCAGTCCATAGACAGCATGTGCCAGCAGTACTCCGCTCCGATCTGGACTGAGATGTAGAGAGAAGCTTCCAGGACTCTATTCTGCAGTCAACAGCACTTGCCTAAAAGCTTACATACTAGAGACATACTAAATTTTGCAAGCCTACATGACTATGGTGCTGCCACCTCTTTTTGGAAGTCTACTTTAATCAGGCTATTAGAAGATCAGAGGATTATTAGCTTTGTGGAATGAATGATTTAATAAGAGTAAAGCGAGTCAGAGACCTACTCCAATTACAAGATCATGGCATCACCAGATTCTGTCTTGGAAGTAACCGGAAGTGAAAGCAACAAGTGCAAGCACACAACTACATTGTCTATTGTCACATTTCAAAAGTAGCCCATTCTTGCAGGAAGTATTTTTAACAACGAAATCATTAATAATTAAAAAAATATTAAAATAAAATCCCTTTTAAGTTTACTTCCTCTACTCAAGGGTCCACTTCAATATTGTGTCCGATGGGCTTTGGAAGAGCCTTGCTGCAAACGCTGGTATTAGATGTTCATTGTGGTCAGATGTCCTGCAGACTTTCGTTGCACTAACACTTATGAAGTGAGGTGACAAAAACAAATTCATTTTTTTCGCTCAAACACTGACTGGTAAATATGTAACAGTGCATCTACGATTTAATTAGAAATTGCATACAAACCACTGGAAAGCAGCCAGGCAGATGTTTGGGAGTGGTACATTCACAAATTAAAAATTTAACTATTTACAGTCAAGCAAGACTGAACAGCAGAATCAGACCATTTCATCTGAAATATCTGTCAAGCCACAGCTATGACTGATAAATAGATTTATGGCTTTCATCTCACACAATACTGACAGCTCAATTCCCACATAGTTCCTTGCTCTCCAGTGACAGGCCACTATACAGATCTGACAGAGTAAGAGAAACGTAGTACTTTGGCAGATCAGATCCATAGGCTTAGATGAACACAAACATACTTTTTGCACCGTTTATGTTACCTGTCTAATGCCAACTGTCTCAAAGTACAGCTATTTGAATACAAGATCAAGCTTCTCTTACTCTGACATGGCAACATCTTTTTGCTCCAATAAGGATTATTTCTACAGCTACAGAAAATTGATAATGACTGCTTTTCCCAGTTACTCTGACAGCAACTAGCATCTAAGAAATATGTGCTGTTATTTACTTATAGAGATGTGATGGAAAGCCTTCCACTTACAGTGATTTTTCCCATGCTAGTTAATGGAAACTGATTAAGGGAATTCTGATGCTAGCTCTTCTGCCCAGAGACAAGAAGGCACAGTACAAGGTTTTGGAGATGGAAGGGAACACCACCAGAAGACACTCTGTTCAGCCTGGAATGTGACTGGAACAAAACTGATAGGAGGAATATAACACTGACGTACAAGGATGGTTGCCCTTCATGTAAATGTTATTAAATCTACTAAGATGCATGTATGTGTATTGATCATTTGACAACTGATAATAGTGGCAGGGAAGATGTGTATGATTAACACTGTACGTATCTTAGCATTCTACCCATATCAGATCAATAAAAGCCACTAGTATGAAGTTCATACATGCCTATGTAGGGACTTCAAAACAGAGCTCAGTCAGTTCCCAAGAAATTAATCTGCCTTATCTGGTGGCAGATTATCTTTAGACAAGTCTAGGAAGATACAAAATTATTATTTATATTTCACATTTGTCAGTATTTTTTATATATATGTAATTGTTTGATACAGCCAGTTGTTTCTATATCTACAGATCTATATCCAATAGTTTCAAAAAAACCTGAGCTGTGCCATTTGAATTTGATGGAGCAGAGAAGTTGCACAGCATCCTTGTTGGAACTTCTTCCCCCGATTACTCATCCTGGGCAGTGTAATACATTTAATTCACTAATATTCGGAAGGTTCTCCTGCTTCAGTCACTTCGATTGATGCTGTTAATGGTAATGAGCTATGGAACAGAGTAAATGGTGAGTGACAACATGCTGATGCAGCCTCCAACAACACATGCAGGATTAAACAAATGAACAAAAAAAAAAAAAAGCCCAAAGCCTTAGAACTTACTGTCCAAAACTTTATGAAGTACTGCAAGACTGTAGCAGCAACAAACAGACAGTACAGTAAGGAATACATTAAAAACAGGAGGAAGAATTTGTAGTTAGAAAATCCCACACAATTATTCACCCTAGAAGGAGGGGAAAGAGAAAGAGGTTACTATGATATATAAAAACAAAACAAAACAAAACACAAAAAACCCAATACATTCAGCTTTTGCACAGCATAACATGTGTGTGATGTCAGTGATACATCCAAAACAGTCTGGCACTAGTGTTTCAGAAGCCTTTTAAACCACCATTTTGAATGAAGTCTCTTTCCTCAGGCCAAATGATCTGGGCCCCTCACATAAATTTTGACCCCCCACAAAGTTCTACAGGACAGGACATGAGCTGGCAAAGCGTACGATACACACAGTCTGTATAGGAAGCGTCTCACACACTATCACTAAGTGCAGTCATCATGGAAGATAGTATAAGCCTCTCCATCAATTTCAGGGGATCCTGCTTTGGTTACAAAACCACCTTCAAGTCAACTACTGATAGCAGTATTTTTATAGTGACAGTGGATAATATTTTTGCTGACTACCAGTGAATACAAACTGCAGAAGAGTTACTGTCCGAGGGGGTCTTATGTATCATCTAGAATTGAGAACTGATTTTCATAGTGTAGTGGGTATCTCCTCTCCTGGTAACAACACCAAACTAAACAAAAGACAGAAATGCCATTTCTCATAGGTCTCGTTAATGCCAGGGTTTCTCGTTAATGCCAGTGTTTCTCTATGTAGGTAAAACCTGTATGATTTAGGCTACTGGGCCTACAACTCTATGTTGCGACATACGTTAGGAACAAGATTTATTTTCACATATTAAAGCCTCAAGAAGTTCTGTGAAAATCAAGTTTTACTTCAAAGTTGCATTTTTGAAACAGCATCTAATTCATCATGTAGGATCTAATTCATCATTACAATACTGATTCTTTTTTGTTTTTACAAACTTACCATGGACAATGGTGGTCCATTTTTAGTACACATCTGAAAGAGATAATCTCCAGTAAATTAAAGCAAAAAATACATTTTCTTTCTAAGACGCATACTTTTAGCTTCTATAGGCTTGAGTGTTTGTGGTTTTTTGTGGGTTTAAGTATTTTGCCCCACTGTAACTTTTTCAAGTCCTTCTTACAATCATGCCAATTCTCTGTATTATAGCAGTCACCTGTCACCTAAAAGGACCAAGCGAGATTCAGAAGAGTTATGAAGACTCTCTTAAATTAACATGGGGAGCATTACTGAGCAACATCATGTAACAGTTCATTAAGCCACACTAGTTTTATGTGCACATTGAGAGAAAACAAACCCAAAGGACCCTTCAGAGTTGTGTGGATAAGGTATGTCAGCCTGGCATTCACTTCAACTAAGTCTACTTTAGGGCTATTTTTGCTACCTTTTTTTGTTTGCCGCTTGCTTTTAAAAGCTAATTGAGGAAAAGAGCAGCAGAGCGGGTAATCTGAATAGTCCCCATCCCATTTGCACCCAGTTTTATAATAAGGACAGATACTAGACCTTTCAGAGACACAGACATTCACTGTATTTGCTAATAAATTTGATTTTAGCCAAAAGATGTGTCTTAGGTTCTTCAGTTAAACAGATTTCCTCAAGCTCAGCCTACCAAAGTCTCACTCATAGCAGCAGTCTTCAGTGCCCTTACAGACTTCTCTGATGATTCAGAATGAAGCTAGGGAATACCAGTGATGTCTTTGAAATGGCTAAGGCCTGTGATTCCACTGTCAATCTTTCAGAAAAAGATTTTTAGCATTATTACTAGCATACATCTGTTTCAAGGCTGCAGAAGCAAGATACAATGTAAGAGTTCTATAGTAAGCATTTGCTGGTGCTGGTATCTCAGATTTGCCTTTCTTTACTTTCAGTTGCTGATTTTTTAATTTTTAATTTTTTTTTTTTAAATGTAAGCACTGTTTTACAAAGCTACAAGCAGGTTTCCTATAAAGTTCTGCCACTTTGGACAATGGGGCTGCAACAATAATATTGCACCAACAGGAGGAACTTTGCTCTTTCATGAAATCCAAATACTGAGAGTCTGAGAGGAACAAATAGTAAAACCTGCTGTTATACAAGGGCTGACACGCTCAAGACATGAACACACAAAAGCAATGATCGCAGGAGAGAGAAAAATCCATCACTTCAGACTCAGTAACTTACATGTCACATGCAGAACAGTGGTGGCAGCGGTCAGGTTTGATTAGCTGGCATCGATCACAGTATCTGATTGCTGCATTCAAGTGACAAGGGTCAAGTCATTACAACTCATTTAATTTTACAAAGGTTTTCCTCTTAACATGAATTGAATCTTAAAGAGCTTCCTGCCCTCCCCTGCCACACCTGTTCTCACAGACCTTCATGTGCCTATTCCCATATGATACGTACTGTTGAGTTTTTTAAGAAATATAACATGAAAGTATTTAAAACACTTTCATCTATTACTACTGTACTGAGTCCATTTCCATTTACTCTTTGGCTCCCCAGTCTTCCCATTCTTCATCCTCCAGCACTGATCCCCTATAGCTTGCTTGCTTTCACCTCTGGACAGCATCCTCAGGCATCCCATTGTGACACTACGTTCTTTCACCAAGCCAACTTTCTGCATTAGCTTTCTCTATCCTCCTCAGTAAATAGTGATCTAGTGAACTGTTCAGTAAATCAGCTCTTCCTTATCTTCCCTGGATATTTTTAAACAAGCCTTCAGGCTCTTCTCAATGGAAATAAGACACCAGCACAGGCAGTTTGAAAGGAGGAGGAAAGCCAACACCTACAGCTATGCAGAACTGCTAAGAGCTGGCAAGAGCTTCCCAGACCACTCCAGGAACTTAAGACTGGGATTCCCTTAAAGGGAGGCTTGTATTCAAAAAAGCCAGGTGTCCTTAGACTTTGTTTGGAAAGTCACAGTAAACTTTGGTAACAGTTATTCTAAGTAGTTTATGTTTTTGGAAAACTCTACAGGGTTGCTAGTTTCAAGAAGGAGAAACAGATATATATACATATAAAAGCTAGATTTTTAAAGAATATGCATATGTATAAGACAGCAGTTTCATAGATCATTCATATGTAAGTTGGAATAAAAATGCCTACACGTATTAAAGGCAAATACAGAAATAGCCCATAACTAGCTTTGTACTGAATTACAGATGGGAATGAAACAAGATTTATTCGTTCTTAAATTCTAGCCTTAAGCATGATGTTTCTCCCTCTGCTGAACTGATACAGCTCAGAAAAAGAAGTTTAAAAGGGGGATATAAATGATTATAAAATTGAGTAAAAAGTTTAATTTTCTCTATTTCTAGCTGTATTAGCTATCTTTCTTCGCAGTGTTTATTTTTTATAGCCACAATTAGAGATAAATGTTGTCATCTATCTGCTTGCTAGATGAGGATTTATTTATTTATTTATTTTATTCCGAATACTGGCTACATGTTGAGATCCCCAGACAAAGGACTCCAGTTTCTCTTGCAGGGGAGAAAAACCAGCCCAAACAAATAACAAAGCAAGGTCATGGCCTTTGCAATATACACTTAACAGATTGTTCATTCAGTGACATCAAATGAGTTTTACCGAATTAAACTAGCAGCTTCAGGAGCACAGAATTATCTTTATATCTCACCTCTCGATGCTGTTGTTGTATAGATAGGCAAGTCTTTAGCAGCTCTTCTCAAAATCTCCTGTTGGGATTCTGGTCTCTCTTCTTTTTCATATTGTTCTTTATCAGCTTTTGACAAGCAGAACTAGGAGGGGGAGAGAAAATTGAATGAAGGGAAGAGATTGTTACTTTGTGTTGTAGTCAAGCTCCAAGGAAAAGACTGCATGTATCTTAATCCTATGTCTTTGGACAACCCCCACCCACCAACCCGAAAAAAAACACAAAAAGAAAAAAAAAAATATGCTAGAGCAATTTCAAGACATCCTTAAAACTCCATGATGGTCCTGGGCATATTTTAAAGAAAATAATCTTTATCTCTGTTCCATTATCTATAGCATTTTCCCTTCAACACAAAGGAAGGCAGAGACTCAAGGGAGTTTTAAGAAGGTGCAATCTGTCCTTTAATTCCTGATAAGGGTAAATTAAGTGATCTGTGAACAAGAGCAAGGTGCAACAGCCCTTTGCTGCTACAGGGCACTAAAGTTCTCTTACCCCGCTTCCTCCCTCTGACTTAGAGAGGGGTGGGCACCACAGGGGTGAAAAAAGCGGGGAGGGGCTTCACAGCTTCAGCACAAAAGTTGAAAGAGTTTAACTGGAATTTTTACTTCGGAGTAGCCAGCGCTAGTCTCAAAACCCATTAGCTGTACTGAAAGCAACTTCAGCAAAGCCTGTACAGTTTCAGAAAGGGTTATAATTCTGAGTAAAGCAGAGGAGGAAAGCTTCTGTTGAAGCCTCACTGAAATGTAAAGCTTTACCAGAAGAACCTGGAGAGCTTTTACTCACTCGTGAAACACTTAGTTTGGTATCCACTGAAACGATGAGCTTTACCATTAAGCCCCACAAAACCCAGTGTGCTGACAGGCCCCTGTGGAGTCGGGGCTGAACTCACGATTTCCTTTGGTATGTTTCTGTTCTGAAGCACTTTTAAACCCTGAACTTCCTGCATGGACTACAAGAGTCTTTTTTATGAGCACACATAGACAAAGTATTCATGGTAGTGAGTAGAAAATGCTGTGTGTGCAGCTGGAACAAAAATTGGCTTAGTGTGGTTTAATATGACCATATTTTCCTACCAAGAACTTGTATATGATTAGTTCACATGGATTTGCCTCTCATCCTGTACTTTTTCCTTTTTTGGATTACAGTCAGTTGGCAAGCAACAATGAAGACTCCACTTACAGAGAGGAAGCAGTAAGATACTGCTGCAATTTCTTTGTTATTTCCTAACCCAGAATGCAAACAAGTTGCCTCATATCTCACTGAATCTAGTTAAGCCTCCTGTTACACATAGTATCATCCCAGTTATTGAGATTACTCACCATTAAAAGGTGAAACATGAAACATAATCCCTTTTAAATAATCAGAAACTAGGATTAATCTATGTGAAGGGTGAAATTAAAGTTTAACATTTCAGTCATCACCAAGAGTTTGACCTCATTTTTTAATCTTAATCTCTAAAATAGGTATTTACTCAAATATGAAAACTGGAGATGCTCACGTCAAAAGTTTAAGACATATGAAGCACCATGCCAGCAAACAGTGGTGCAATATGTCTTCCTCCCTGCTGCCCTCGTGAGTCTGCTAGTGACTCAATGCCTGTCTCCATGACCTGCAATCAAGCAGAGGTTGCATTAAACACAAAATACTACTTCTAGATGACATGTCTATGGCAAACAATTATTGCACAGAAAAGGAACTAAATCACAAGATTTAAAACTTTTTTAATTTGTCCAAATAACATAATACTAGTCCAAAAATCCTGGATAGGATTTTGGTTTTCCAAAGAGCTGTATTTCTGTTCTTATTTCAGAAATTAATAGGGCCATGAGACCACAGTCTCTTTGGACAATGGCAGGATATGTTCAAAGACATCAAAAGTTGTCTGTTACAACATAGCCAACAGAATTTCCAATGAGGTTCCAGCAGTTCTTATTGAAAACAGAAAGACTCCCTTTGTTTCCTTCCTCTTTCTGGATCTTGTATAATGTTGATTGTTCTTTCTTATGACAAATGTACAGGGATTACACTAAGACAACAGCAGCTGCAGAATATTTCTTTGGTTCAATAGTAAGATCACAGGATGCTATTTGTTTTGCAAAAATGGCTAATTTGAATGACTAAAAATATATACGTTTACACTGTCATACAATGGGGAGATTCTGAAGTTGGGCTTTGTTTTTAAGTATAACCGGCATAAATCACTCCCTGGTATATGAACAGAAGGGATTTGCCTAGAGAGAGAAAAAGTGGTGGTGGGGTTTTTTTTGGTTAGTTGGTTCTTGTGGCTTTTTTGGTATGTGTTTTTTGTTATGGTTGTTTTCTTTTCCTTTCCTTTTTTTTTTCCTCTTTAAAGCTAGCTATAGAAGAAAATTGTATTAAATCTGATCTACCCACACGCTTGATACAGGAAATATTCATTACATGTCATATGCCCAAACCATCCCTTTCACTTACTCAATATGAAAAGCTTGCTACAATATTACTGTAACTACAGGGTAAGTACTGTCAGGAGTTTTCTATTATTGAAGAATCCAAGCAGACAGTGAAAGTTACTAGGCATTAGCTTTATGAGCAGCTCTAGCGCATACAGCTTTACAAAGTCTGAAATAACACAGTTCCAACCACATTTTAAATAGCTAACCTGCTTATAATTCTCCTGCAGAACCATCTCAGATAAAGCCAAAACAAACCACCCTGAAGACAAGTCCCTTTGAATTTTTAGGTTTAACATTTCAGTACTACTCTTTTTGCTTAGCTAAACAGCAGAACAGTCTTTAGCTTTTTTCACTTTATATTCTGTAGCTTTAAGATCCAGATCTCTAAGCCATAATTAAGCACTGCAGAGCAGTGTTTGTTTTTCCTTAGAAGCATGGTTTTAACTCTTTTCAAAAACGTTTAAAGTTGACATTAGCACTGAAAGTCAGTCTTGCCAAAAATAGAATAAAAATTCAACACCCATTGAGCAACCAAAGCCTCGAACAGTTTAGCCGATTTAAAAGCTTTATAAAACCAAGGAAGGGAAGGGAAGTATTTTAAATTTGGTGCCAGTACTTAATCCTTACATACACACACCTTAGAGAAAATAGACAACAAGGTAATCCATCTCAGGCTTATTGCAATTAATACTGTTCTTTTTCAAAACAAAACTTCTTACAGTCATCAAGCATTCTTTTGCCATTATGTAAAGCTCTGTCATGTATTCACTTCTCAATTATCCCTAAACCTTAACCCTTGACTTAGAAGTGGTTCAGTCTTCCAGGTTATGAGTATACATTGCATTACTAGTTTTTCTTACCCAAACAAAGGTCAAAACTGCCTAAAAGGGAAATATTGTCACTGTATTTGATTTACTAGTTTGAAAAATTCCAGGTTTCATGCAAGCTACTTTATAGCAAAGCACTGCACATGACCGTCAAACTTGCGATGAACTAAATGCACATTTCTTATAAGGAAAGTATACAGTATTTTCAGAGTAACTTGATCATCTTCATTCATGATACACTGTCATGCTGTTCTATTTTAGATAATGAGATGGAAAAGGTGAATCATGCGGTACTGGAAACAAGTTTCGTCACTGAAAACAGTTCAGCTATTTATAAAAAAGGCATTGACATTTTTCTAACATTATATTTACCTCATTAGAGGGGGATGCAGGAGATGTGAATATTGTCTTCCAATAGGACCATACAAACATGACAAAGGACAGATGAAAAACCACAAGGTAGACAACTGCAATAAAATACAAATAAGAGTTCAGTGAATATAGCCGAAAATAACAAAAATTAAAATCCCTGATCTTTGATGAGTGCTAAACTGCTATGAATCACCTGATAAAATTAAGTTATATTAAACCCTTTTCCCTGGGTAAGCACTCTAGGAGTGCTCACTGGAGAAAAAAAAAAAAAAAAAAATCACCAAATTTGATCATTGCTCTTCCTCAAGGAAATAATATCCTTTTATGGATGATACCAAAACAGCTGAACACAGCTTCACCTGTAGCATACAACTAACCTGTTAAGGATGCTACAATTCTGTTCTAGATTACAGTAAAGTATTTGATAACTGACCTACAGAATTCAATTTAATTTCTGCTTCTAATGGTAACATCACAGTATTGTGCCACTATAGAAGGCACTGGTCATCCATGACAGCAGAAACTCCAAATCAGGGGCTTGGAGCGGACTGCACTCCAAGATGAGAGGTAGCTGTGAGTTTAAAATTGGCTGATTATCTTCTTTCAAATCATCAGAGGAATATAATCTGGAAGAGTCCTGCTATTATAGTCACAGTGGCAACAAAATGTAGGTGGCTTTAGCAGGGAGCTCAATCAATTCATGAATGGGTCCGTGTGATACAGCTGCCTTAAAGGCCAGAGACCCAGACCTTATGACCAGGAAGCTTCTTCCAATCTTGTTTCCTCTAACAGTTTCTTTTACCACTTGTCAAGAGGAAACAGATCAGTTGTGCCAGAACAGCAAGCCTTAGAAAAGAAGTCATACTAAATATTTAAATTATCTTCACCTATATTACCTTCAGTTGCAGGACGAAGGAAACTTGACCTACTTCCATGTGCACATAAAGAGAGTCCTTTAAGAAGCTGTATGACAGTTCATGGATGGCAGAACAGGCTCGAAACTTTGGGAACTTCCAACAGCTCAGAAAACGCTTGTGCACAGTCACAGAAAACGTGGTCTTAATTTATCATCTTTCAGGATTTTCATCGCTCATTGCAGTAAAAAACCCAAACAAACTGTATTTGAGCTTTCTTCAGAGAATTATGCTTTTTACCTTTGCCTCTGACTCCTCCAACCTTACAGACAGATTTGGCAAATTATTAGCTGTGGAGCTGACTGAAAATGCAAGAAGCAAAACTTTTTTCTAAAGCTATCCTAAAATTGTCATCCTGATAGGAAAGAACTTGTACATCACTGTACTAGGCACTGGATAATTAGAAAGTCTTTTATTTAAAAAAGTACTGTGCACATTCAAACATAATGTGGTTAAGCAATTAAAGCATGAGAAAAGAGTTTGGAAAAGAGGAGAAAGACACAAAATTGGAGCGGAATCAGCTGCACAGATCAGAGCTTCAGGGGAGAAGAGGGGGAGAGGAACTGAATAGAAGGAAAGAGGAAATGAGATACAGGGGAGGGCAGGGCACAGCAAAACTAACTTAACACAGTCAATAGTTCTATTCTCTCCGTAAGAATCACCCCCAGAATTCAGATTCTTTTGAAGGATTATTTTTAGTGCACACACAATACTTCAAACAGCAGAACGTCAAAGACTTGTCACAGGCTGTACATGCCCCAACAACACACAAAATAACAGGCACCAAGGGTACAGATCTGTGCCAGTGCTACCAGTATTTACGAGGAAGAGGCAGCTGTTAAAGTCCTCTTGCACTCTTGCAATAACTGAGATCTTGCAATCTGCCACCATCATTAAAAGCCACGGGCCCGCCCTCAGTAGCCACTGGGGCAACCCAGGGAAGAGGAAGACTTTCACAGCTGTTCTAGTGATGGGCACCACCCGGCCTAGAGGAGAAAGAGCCTGCAACTGGCAGTCCATACTGGCCCTGCACTGAATAAATTCTTCCTTCTTTTCCCAGTCCTGTGCTGCCATTTCTACTGTGATTACAGGCACCTGTCCTGTCAGTGCTCCCCAAGAAATGAGGGAGGGAAGATACCATTTTTGACAGCTTTACTTTGGCCATCCATCTACCCACCATTTTGGGTAGCAGTATCTCCTCTGCAAACCACTCCCTGAAGCATCTTGCATCAGTTTCCAGTACAAATATAAACCCGCCTCATTCCTATTCAGGTCGTTTTCTTGTAATTACAAGCCAAATGGAAAATACATCAAAAACCTCAAACCCCAATATCTGCCAGTTTAGCCAGACTCAGAGTCATGAAGTCCTGGCTAAGTTAAGGGAATTCAGGATTCTTGGTGCCATGCTGTGAGCAAGTGAAGTCACTTCTCTTTAAAGGCACTGATGCATCATTTATGCCCTCAGGAGGACAATGTCTTAAGACACGGTCTTACAATCCCCCTAAAATATGCTAAGCCCTCCTAAGGTTTGCCCTTAATATCCTTTTCCGAATCATTCTTAATAGTACTTCCAAGACAGAGCCAGATTACAGATAGGTAATAATATACAACAGAAGTATATTATATTGTTAAGAGAGATTCAGAGTTGACTTTATTCCCCTGTCCTAATGGATATAAATCTAGACAAGAATATGAAATTACAAAGAAACAATTAGCCTTAATAGGGTGAAGAAATCACCACTAATTTAATCAAAAGTTGTAATTAAGTACTGGAGTAAAAGGATTTGAACACAGTACACTGAAATATAGAGCAAAGTATATTTGCCAAGATGCACATTATTGATCCACATAGCAACGTTACCGGTACTTTGGCCTTTTGACTCTTCTGATGTTATTTCCTGGCTATCGTGAGTTAGCTTAAAAGAACTTTATAAAACTTACGATAGCTTTCATTCCAAATGAAAAAAGACTTCACATCTCATTTTAAGATCAACCTCCATGGTAAAGAAATTCATGCATACAGGATGCCTATAGTATGCTTTAGAACTGAAGGGGCAAGAAGCATGCAGGTGACGGCTATTAAAAGCCTAACAGTCAGGTTCCAAAAATACTGTCAGTCTCATTAATTAATCAAGCATTTTTCTTCTCTGGTAGATTTAAGAGCATCTCCTTGAGTTAGACAGGCACTGCATTTGTATTAAAGCCTGAGATCTGACTATGCAGCACCAACATCATTGCTCTGCCAGGCTTCCTTAACTGAGACATGGATCCTGCCTTTCTGGAAGAAACTAGAAAGTACAACTCATTCATATACAGGCCAACAGTAAAGCACAGCAGCAATCCACAGAATTTTGTGAAGTCTAGCTGTGAAGCCCAGCTGTGCAATGTGATGTAAAAATCCAGACACCGCTCCCATCTTGAATGGTTCACAGTTTATTTTGCAGATTCTCCCACTCTTTCACCTCTTCATTAGAAGATGAAAGAAGACAGATTCCATCAAGGTTCCTTCCTATCACAGTTTTCTCCTGGATGTTCCCTACTAGCAATAAAACTGCTAGATTAGCTCCAAATTCTGTGCTCTTTTGCAAAATATGTAAGAGATGAGAGCCTATTACCAGTGGTCTCGCACTCTGAAGACAGCCCTCTGTGGATAGTCAAAATGCAAATCTATGCTTAATCTACCACTCATGTCCCCCCATAAGCTGAAATGAACTCCCAAACAAATATCTCATCAATAATTTTTATTTCTAAAGGAAAAAACTAAACATCCATATTTTGAGCTTCTGGAATCTAATCATCCTTTAGACTAGTTTTTGTTCACAATTAAAAGAAATGGCAGAGCAAGAATACTGGAATTCTTCTGGTCAGTTTGTATCTCTGGAAGTACTACCCACTGTGGCATATATTTACCAAAGCCAATATGAAGACTTAAGTAAAGTTTGTCAAAACAAGGCCTTAACTACTTGACCTGGAAATTTAAAATTGTAATATGCAGCCACCTTTGAAATGGTTGTGTTTTGCACAGTTCTGACCAGTCCGAAAGAATGGGGTTCTAAGGAATTTGGTTAAGCTGTTTGGAAAACAGCAAGCAGTAGAACAACAATTCTTCCTCGTCCAAAAGTCTTTCAGGTTACAGGGTGTGTTCAGGAACAAACAGAAAATGGACTTGCGGACCTGCTGCAGCTCATTCTCTCTTCTCCTTTTCTGTTCTTAGAAGATACCCATTTAAAAATATTTGCAAACCTAAATCATAGTTGTGTTAGTCACAGGCCTTGTCATCATCCCAAGCTTGTGGTACTAGAAGCTAAACAGACTCAGCCTCACAATACTTACCTTGTTTCTCAGCACTAATCTACTCACTACTTAGAGCTTACACATAAAGGAATACATTTAAATTCTATGCCCCTCAAGACTTGTGTGCAACACAACTATTCAGATCTTAACAAAAATTAAAAAAAATTTACCTTTTTCTGCAACTGAAGAAATAGTAACTGGAAGAGAAAAAAAAAAGATATATGGTAAGTAAATCCATATTGAATCAAATGTCTGGCTAGAAGTGAAATACAGGACTTGTTCCAAAGCGTACTTCAGGTGTTAGTAGAGTCTCCCTACTCCACTCTGGGGTAAAACAGGAGTTAGTATTCCTCCTGCCAGCCCCTGCAGCTTGGCGAGTCGGTGGAAGAGCTAAAAAGATCCAGTTCCCTGCGCTAACCAAGCGAGCACTTCTTTTCACAGACATTAATTAGATCATAATTTATGCATGTTCCCCTTCAGATAGGCTTCTAGCAAAGTTTTCTGAGTCAACAACTAGGCCGACAGGTGTACCCTTGGAAAGCAGAAAGGGAAATAAAAGAAGTTCTTACAGCAGTCCCTGTGAAACTGCGTTACATGTAACCTACTTCCCTCTCTTAGTTTTTTCCCACCACTTCTCTCTTCCTGTCACATGCTATTTTCGACTTTTTTCCCCTGACCCAAATTCTTCAGGCATAGTTAAAACCTCTCCACTTCCTTCTCTCCTACATCCTCATCTCCTTTTATCCCAACAGCAAATTCTATTGTTCAAATCTACCGGGTGTACTGCCTGGCTAGTAGTATATCCTCCTGCCCTCAGGCTTCTCCAAAACCTTCACACTTCATTCATCGGTTCAGGTAAGATGCTGAACAGAGAGCTGCTGTACTTATTGCGTTGCTTTATTCGTATCACACCCCTTGCTGGATCTCTTCTTTAGACACTGAACTCCTGAAATTCAATGAGGAAAGGATCTTTTCCTGACTCTTCATCTTATACAGCAAATTTAAGCTTCTGGGCATCAGCATGGGCAAAAGGTTAACAGAGCACACCCCGCCTACTCCAGTTCAGCTCACTCCACATTGTCTCCTCTCTCTCAGCTCTGACATTTTTACAGTTATTAGTCTATGTGTCAGTTCAAAAGAGCTTTTTCCTGATGCACACTAGAGTCTTAAATCTGCAGGGCTTCAGCATGCATTGCAGACTTCCTTCTGAAGGATTACTTTGGTCACAGAGGTGGCACATGTCTCACTTAACTGCAGGTATCTATAGTCAAAGGGTCTGCAACTATATTATGCAACTGTGCCTCTTTTTATAGTCAACAGGAAGCATAATGAGGTGATATCTCAATGTATAGATTACTCCTTTTTGTTCAGATATGTGGTTGTTTTTGTGTGTGTGCGTGTCCCTTTTTTTTCCACCCTTCTCTCTCTCCTTCTTCCTTAAAATATCCACTCGGCACCCTCTATCTGTTCATGGAAGCCCCTACGAAGTTAATGGAAAAGGTTCTGGTTCCTTTCACCTGAAGAAGGAAGAAATTACCATTTAGAATAGAACAACGTTGGCTTCAAACTAATGGAGGTCAATCCTAAACAGCTGCTTAATTTCACATTATTTATGCATACTTGCACATCCTCCTCCCGTGTTTCTGTCTGAAAGAGGGACACAATCCACACAGAAAAACAGACCTGAAGCACGCAATTACCTGCAAAGTATGCATGTAAACAGAAGAACAGGTCCAGTTGTGTCATGATACAGTCTCAGTACTACTCCACTGCATGCTACAGTAGTCGCATTATTTTTAAAGCAAATCTTGTGAGTGTTTTTGCTCAAAATTTTACTAATGCGTTATTTCTCCAGTTAAAACTTTTTCAACAAAAGGAGAACACAAGATCATTAAAAAGGTGAAAATTAAAACAAGTTTGAGTAGGGTTGTTTGCTCAACTTAAAAATACTAAAAGTACTTTAAGCTCTGTCTTTGGCTCCTCATGTATCTTAGGTAAACACCTTTGCATGCAGCTGGACAAGCATGTAATTCCCTAGACAAGAAATATAAAAAAGTTCTTAATTATCCTCTAATGGGTTGGGAGAACATCGTTATCTATAAAACTATAGGAATTTTTTTGTAAATAATTCTGGTTAAAGCACTCCATAATCTGTAGCCTCATTTCTGCTCTCAGCACAAAACAAAATTGTGAGCCAAATTTGACGTTTGAAGACTCAAAATAATGAACAGTCTTTACATGCAGAAAAAAAAGCCCAAGATTATATCACCTGTGAGACTTCATCAAAAAGATCCCTAAATAGACTTCATAAAAATTAATTAAAACTTCACAACACCTGGAAAATAATTCTCTTTTGTACCGAGGTCCCTTAGGTCAGAACGCAGTTATTAGACTGTGCAGAACAATTTTAATTTGGCAAACTCCTGCAGTTTGAGGTAAAAAGCCAACACTGAAATGCTTGTGATTTTCATCCAGTCTTATCATCCTCAAATGAAATAAAAGATGGTCAGTTCTCTTCTGCCTCAGAAGTTCATGCCAGTTAAATGTTTCTGTTTCTATCCCTTTCACTGTTGTTATTCCCATTGTCAGATAAGATTAAACGAACAGCAATCCTACTACTTGTCCAAATTCACTCAGCAAGTTGATTTGCCAAATCAAAAGTTCTACAGAACCTTACAAAAGCGAAGCCTTCCTTTAAATAAGTTAATGTTTAATCTTTACATAAACCAGACCTTTTATGTATTTGCTAGGCTGGCAATGTAACAAGCAGCCTTATACCATCAAGGAATCAATCCCAGCTTTTGAATTCTGGTTCAGGAAAAAGAAACCACATTACCATACCAAAAGAAAGACGTTACCATTGTGGCCCACCAACCCCAGTCTGAAGTTTAAGTTACAAACTTAGCTCTCTTACTGCTTTTCTCCTCTACTGCTTCTAACCACCTAGGTACTGCTGTCAGCTTCCACTCAATTAGTTCCATTTTCACTTTAAACATTTCTAAAACATGGTTTCTCGTTTGAGGGGATGGGATGGGGGACAAAGCAGTGCTGCCTTTTTGCTTATTGATATTTTTTTGAACAAAATAAGTACTGCGTATCATTTATATGTTAACCTCAGGATGCAACAGCACTATAGATTAGATGCATCAGCACAAGTTAGTTCCTTCAGCACGGCAGTCAACACAAACCTGTCCATATTTCAGAAATGTAAGCATCGTAAAACAGCTGTTCTTTTGAGGATTTTAAAATATATCCTCATAGCAGTCTATTGCTTAGCTACAAAAGAAAAAATAAGAGCAAAAATATTCTTAGGATTCTTAACATTAAGTTCCTGGTTTCTCAAGAAGATTTATAAAGTTCTAGCTAGATATTGCTAGGGAAGGATAAAAATATGACTAGACGGTGAAAGCTGCAATTCACTTCATTACAAAGAGCTCAGAAGCAGGCACATGTGTGCTCACGCACACAGTGAGTTCCCACTATGGCCTCATAACTTCAAAGGATTGAGCATCGCAGCGTTACAGCACCAAGCAAGTCGAACGAAGTGAACGAGCCCTGTCTGTCTGACTGCAGCACAGACCTTTACCTTGGCTACCTCAGGATTTCCAAAATCAGCCAGTCTCCCCTGTGAAGAGAGGTAAATAGGCCTACGCTGAACTTCATGCCGCTGCAGCTTGTCCAGAGACGCACAGGCCCAATATGCTCCGCCAGCTGGTCCTGCGCCACTGAGCAGCTTACCCACGGGACCTCCCCGCGCTTTGGGGTCACTGCAGTATGAAGCACACAGGACTACGTGGTTTCACTTTCTGCAGACTACTACCTCCAAAATACATGATACAGCCTTTTATTAGGTTGGATTCAAATGTACTTTCTATCTTGGCCCGCTTAGAGGACAAGCAGAAATTCCAGGTTTGACTTTAACAGAGGAAAAAGTTGTCTTAGTTTTGATTTAGACACCTAGCATCACCCCTGTCAGCAAAGACACTTTTTCCTTCATGACCCAAGTTGTTCATTACACCTCCTTCTAGATACTCTTCCTTACATTGTTGTCTGCTATCTTTCATCTCACAAGGATGAAGTAGGTGGAAGCCTATGGATTATCACAGGAACAATCCCGCAGACATTAAGGGCATCATTAGTTGTATGACAAAGTAGATGGGGGGGGGTGGGAATGTCATTTGTTGGAAGCATTCTCTTGGAGTATGAACTGACTGAGGTGCAAATTTCAGAAAGCTCTGGAGAATTTAAGTTGCTTCAAGGAAACCTCCCAGAACATCTTGGAAGAACAAGTATGTTTAGGAAGCTGGTTTGCTTTCAGTTTCAGACTTATTTTCAGGATTGCTATGAAGTGTTCAAGCACCTTCCAAATCACTGCATAACAGGAAAAACCCCAAATCTCTCTATTCTGAGGCAAAGAGGTGTAATGATCTGCCAAGAGGCATGCTAAAAGACGACACATTTGCCTTCAACCTTGGAACAAAAAAACCCCACTACTCTACAAAACCCACACACCACATCTCCCTAGTCCCCTAAAAGGCATATTCCAATCAAAGCCAGATATACTCCTTGCAGAGCAAGAAATTCAATTGCAACTAATGTAGAGGTATACAAAATGAAAAGAATTGATCTTGTTACTGATGTGCTATGTTTATTTCCCCCGTCCCCTCCCACAATGGCTCCTAACAGGAGTCATACTTTGGGTATTACAGCCTTTCCATGAAGCTCAAGAGTAACATTCACATCTTGGCTGACATTCCTCATGGGTGGGAAGAAAGAGTGATAAATGTGCAATTGCATCCCTACACCAGATGTACAGCCTTAACTTTTCTCAGTTTTTAAGGAAAAGAGTTAAAAAAAAAAAATAAAAAATGTATCTCTCTTGTCCCCCCCTCCCATATATATGTATTTCCAGAAGTTACCAGTACTGAAACCCCACAGAACCTCCCCATGGACACTACCCTATCTGCAAAGGCAAGCACCACTGACATTATCCCAAGTTTTTCATTTGTCCAGAGAACGGCATTTAATTGAACGTATAACTTAGATTTATGGCAACATAATTCCCATCTGCAAATGCAGACCTCACTCACAAGAAGATGGCACAAGCATTACTTACTGACACAAGTGGGACAGACAATGAGTGAATTTCCTGGAGCAAATACTCATTTGACTTCTGTCACAGGGCAGCGCCA